ACCCTTAGCAGGATGCAGCGCACCCTTCATGCGACTCGCTGGATATCTCACGGCGCTTCGCGCTTGGTGATGTGAGAGCCTGGTCCGGTGAGAACCCGGCGTGCTCCGTCTCGGCTTTGTAGGGATGCGAGGTCAATGGTCTAACGACTACGGCATGCACGACAATGAGTACACCCCTCCCCCCCCCCATGATGAAAGTGCACGAACTCTTTGCAGTCGACGTGGTCCGCTCGAGCTTTGTTCGTTTCTGCACTGAGGCGCCAGAATATATTACATGAGATAAAATGTTTGGTTTCAACCCTAAGCCGAACAGCCTGCCAGGATAGTCGAGGGAACCCAGGAATATGAAGAACCTTGATACTTCATGGGGGGGGGTGTTTTGAATACATGACATGAAAGCGCTGTTCAGGATGTTATCTACGCCTAAATCTGAACCCATACTCGCGTGGGCATAGAAACAATCTTCCACGAATAAGAACAACGCGCTTGTCCGCACACCGTGTCCCAAGATTGGTCAGAACGGGCACCCGGTGATCCCCTTCCTTCTGTAGGTACAGCTTGTTGTGTCGTTCTGCGTATTCATCGCTCCAGGAACCATAATCCAGAGCTCACTGCCAGGTTCGGTCCGACGTAATTGTCTCTTACGCCCATCCCCCTTGTCGCTTTTGCTTCGTCGCTGTACCTCGGTCTCACGTTTGCGTGTCTTCCCTACCCACGCCTTCCCATGTCACGTGCGCTCTACCTTTTCATTTCTCTCTCTGTTGTCCTCTGTGGTTCCCTTGCCTCATATTCTCCTCTCCTCTCTGTCTGTCGTGGCGCTGTCGCTTTGTATTGCACCTCGGGGCTACTGTCGCTTGGCCGCCGCCACCACCAACAACAACAACAACAGTGCCAGTGTTGGCTCTTCAGTACTTCTCGTGCACCGACTGTTCTGTGGGGGGCGCGCTCTCAGCGCAGAAGCAGCAGTGCCCTCCGGGCGAGACCTTCTGCGCGGCGGTGAGAAATTAGAAGGGACAGCAGTATCGGTGTTACTATCACTACGGTAGTACGGAGTACAGGTGCACGGCTAGAAGTTGCCATACGATCGGTTGCTTCTTGTTGGCGAACTAGTCCCAGATCCGTTGTTCCGCGCACCTTGACAAGCGGGTCGTCATACGGCCGCTTCAACCATCCACCGAGAAGCTAGCTATTGCTACTGATATCTCGACAGAATGGAGTGACTGCTGTGCTTGGACCTGAGCAAGGAGTGGCGCCTATCACAACGTCCATTGGTGCCGGTCATTGTCTATGGATGTCCTCGGCACATGACCACGTACTCGTTGTTTCTCGTTTCGTTAGAGAACATTGACATCAACTGTCGCCAAACCTTGTTCGCCACACTCGCCGTCACCTATCACGTGGCCCCACTGTCTTCGCCAACGGGACCTGAAACGTCTGCAAACATGCGCACGAAATTTGTCACCAGGTGTCTCGGCCGCGCACGAGCCCATTGGTCTATCAGTCCTCCTCCGTTGACCGCGGCTGCGCGTCTTCGCTACACGTGGCGTGCGAGCAGCTCAATCCCCCACAATCATCATTAGCCAGAAAAGACATAGAGGAGAAAGCAGGAAAGTCAGCAACAACACCTGCTGTGGGCGATCACGGCCATCGAGAAAGCGACGGCCAAAATTTTCTTCCCGGCAACAGCAGCAGCAGAAGTAGTAGGAGTAGTGATGGTGGCAGCCAGAATGATGGCCACCATTTGCAGCCACTGATGTGTTGCTCGACGGACATTTGCAACGGGCTCGAGGACGCGCGGAGGGAGGGGCAGCGCCGGTCGGGAGAACACCTGCGGACTCTGATGGAGGGTGCCCCTCGGAAGGAGGTTAGATCTTCGCGGGACTCGCCTGCTGATGGTGGCATTGTTGCGGCTGGCGGCCGTGGATCGGGAGTCGGAACGGCGGCAGCGGTGGAGAAGAGAATGGTGGATGGTGAAGACGACAACTCGGCGCGCGGGGGGGGTGTGGGAGGGTCGAGGTTTGCGACGGTGCTTGTGATTGTTGGAACCTTTTCGCAAGTATTATGGCTGGTGGGTAGGCTGATAGAGTAAAGTGTGGGTGAAAGGGGGGTCCTTCGAAATGTTGAAATTCTGCAAGGGTTGATGGACGTGCAGATTTTCCCATCGAAGCAGGAGAGAGACTTCAGCTACAGAAAGGGCCGTTGACCACAAAATCAGCTCTGGCTGTGGAAATGTACCAGCTTGTTCCTACCTCCCAGATAAAAGGGAGCTAAAGCTTGCAGTTATGTAGTTGCGACAGGGCCCAAGCATTGTTCTGGTTGTCAAGCGGCAGCAGCGGAACATTCTCGATGGTATCAGTGTGCATTCCAAGAACGTATCGCCTTTAGTCTGCTGGACTTCTCTTCCTCCGTAATATATGCCGCCTTTGCCATCTTTTTGGTCGGAGGAGAGCAGGACGGAGAATGAATACAAACGAATAGCGATACATTTGCCGGGCTGATGATGATGGAGGTGGCAGGAGTACCAGCGTACGTCTCCCTCTAGTCTTATGCTTTGTATCGCTAACCCGCCCCCCCTCTCATTACCCCCGATGTTTTCATGTTGTTTTCTGTCTGATGTAGCATGTTGTATGTGTTTGAATCTGTTTTATGTTATTCCGGTGGAGGAGCGATCCTAGAACCACCCACAACAGTTGTTTAGGATGGGCGTGTGAAGAATGGCTCCGCCAGTGCAACCACCGGCGGCGAGTACACTCTAGCCCCCTCTCATCCTTTTTTGTTCGGATGGGGCCTCTGTTCCTGCTTTTCTATTCTGTTCAAGCCGGGTTTGGTCGTCTCCCGGTTAGTTTTTTTGTGATTTTCTGCTATAGTGTTTGAAGGATTTTTTCTGGGTCAATATTGCCCGTTCCTTGTTTATTTTTAGGAAGGTGTAACCCCATTTTGGGTAGTTGGTCTGTGGCCACCAAGCCGTCCGCGTCAGATGGTCCAGTACGGATGCTATAAGGTGCTCAGCGGAGACTGGGACGGATTTTATTGTGAAGACACCAGCAACAACAGCAACAGCACAAAATAGATCAGTGAGATATGTATAGTATGTCACTGCTGTTCGTCCGAGGATGTTACTCTTCTTCTGATCCCCAAACAGCTTGCTGCGAATGAATGATGGATCTTAGAGGCTGGTAATGAGTCCACGAAGGTTCGCCCACAACTCTCCACACCACCTTATCTTGGATGATTTTACTCGGTCCCGCTTTGGCTTCCTTGCCACATTCGACTAAAATGGTAATAGCTTGCCTCCGGTGGCAGGTCATAGCCGCCCATTCTCTCTGACCCTCCCGTCACCCAGAGTTGAGGGCTACTACTCCATATTGGCGTTCGACGAAGAGATAGATGTGTTTTTCCCCCCAAGTGAACAACATGGGAACAAAAACAAGAAGCCCACAGGAGGCATCGTCGTCGCCGCCTCCTGCTATTGCCGCGGTCACCGCAAANGGGGGGGGGGGGGGGGGGGGGGGGGGGGGGGGGGGGGGGGGGGGGGGGGGGGGGGGGGGGGGGGGGGGGGTGCTCATAGTCGTGCATGCCGTAGTCGTTAGACCATTGAAGGGGCGTGGTCAAAGTAACGCCGTCGAGTGAGAATCTCCTCCAGAAGGCGAACGCTGGTGGTGCTGTGCGGCACAGACTCCCACCCTCAACAGCACCAACAACAACAGCACCAACACGTATCACCTGTGCTGGCAGGTGACGGTAATGACGACGGCGATAACCACAACGACCGCGACGACAATGACGCCGGTCTTGTGAACGATCTCCTGCACCACCACGCCAGGCCGCCCGTCCGCCGAGCACGTCAGTGCCTGTCATCGGCGAACCTCTGGAAGCTGCCATTCATTGTCGATCATGTATGTGAAGCAAACGGCATGTTGCGGCAGGAGTCCTCTGGCGTGGCTCCCGTGGGACCCTGCCAAGAGCGTCCCACCAACCGGATATCCAACAATAGCTGAACTCGCGCTCACCAGCCTCTGACCTAGCAACCGAAAATAAATACAGTAATTCCAATGTGGACATCACCCTCATACAGGTTCAATCTCCCATCGTATGGCGAATACGAGTGAGTCCCTCGTGTCACACCGAAACAAACGCGAACAAGTGCGGAACCGACCATTCCTCAGAGCACGTTCACACCGACAACCACTTCAACCCAAAACAACTCGGTAAACCAGCAAATGGTAAACCAGGACGTGATTGACACGGCTCGATTTACTCCGAACGCGGCTGACCTTCAAACTACAGTTGAGGGTCCACGCCAGAGTTGAGGGAGTGTACTGCGGTGTACTACAGTAGTTACATAGTCTAGACTATCAAGTATCAAGTATAACAACATATTCGCCTGATTGAGAGCGTAGCATCTGATTGAGAGCGAGATTGCGCGATACGCTGTAGCCGGACTACCACTGAGAGGTGGAGCTTGCTGTGTAGCTTGAATTGAAGGGCTAGCCCGTAGCTTCAAGCCGCTACCCTGGTCATCCTGTGGGAGTCTCTCGTTGTGGAGCTACAGCGGGGAGCAGAAGCTACAGCAGAGCCCACCGCCCGACGCGATACCGCCCTGAAACAGTTTGAGCAGAAATAGCCAATCTGGGCAAATCTAGCAACTTGTCTAGCTCCTCGCTGCAGCATCCGATGACGATGACACGCATATGCTCGCGAAGCTGCTGATGAGACCTTCAATTTGCACCGCTTCTTGGAATAGCCCGTCCCCTACTTGCCAAGAAATGGCAAGAGGCGTCTGGACCCGAAATTTCAATTTTTTTGGCTCTCGCTCTCAATCAGATACTTCGCTCTCAATCAGGCGAATATGTTGTTGTATGTCAAGTATCATGTAGTGCAACATTAAACGATACATACAACAATCAACCCGCGCACGCTCGCCCGACAACACAGTGATAGCTGTAGACAATAGGCTACCATAATAAATACAATAAATGTAGCGAAAAGGGGCACGAAAAGGAAACCGACATGCTGGCTAATGGCTGGTTGGCCTGTGTGTGGCGCCCGTTAAAAAACAATGGACACACACACACACAGCACCTCATCGTTGCTATCGCCAACCACTTTTTTTGCCGGGGGAATTTTGACGACGAAAGATACTTAGTTCGCCTGAAAGCTTTTCATACGAACATGATTCAGAGACGGTTTATCTTCGAGCTAAATAATAGCTCGTTTTCTGTCGATGCGAACTCGCGATTTGTTCAAACGTCATGGGCGACTACTGATTGACCAACTTCCACCAGGGCCAATGGGTTGGGATCTCTGCGACAACGATAGTAACGAGGGCAATTCTTTGGGGAGTGACGGAGACGAAGGAAAGGGAAAGGGAAGAAAGGAGGACGAAGACGTAAATGGAGGAGGAAAACATGGAGGAGTGGAAGAGCGCAAAGGGTTTGAGCCAGATGACCTTCCCCAAAACAAAAAACGCAGGGCTAGGGAAGAACTGCCCAGAGATTCTTGTCAAAATGATGATCAGAATGGTGGTAGCGAAAACAACAAGGAGGATAATGGTGAAAGTATTCCTAAACGAACTAGAGTACGAGGTAATAGCCTAGGTAGACGCATCCACATTTCTTCTGTTGCTGCTGCTTCTGCCTTTGATCCGAAGGATAGTTTAGCCTTCCCCATGCTGCCTCCTCACGGGGTCCCAGTTCATGGCAGATAGACGTGTTTTGTGTTTTCAACCGCACTACAAGTAGACTGACGTATTTTCATTGGTCAGCTGGTTAGCGCGGTCGAATACAAACACACACAGCACACACAAACTGTCTCAACGGCCTCGTCACGACCTCACACGCAGCACACACAAATTCTCTCAGCGGCCTCGTCACGACCCTCACGGGCGGGCAGGCTAAGAACACATAGGTAGCACCATCTATCACACAGCATACATCTGGCAGTGAATGTGTTGCAAAATTGTATAGCAGTGTAGACTAATTTAGTCTAGACTATGTGTTGCTATTTTGTTTGAGTCATCTAGCTGCTGACACGATGACTGTGGGATCTTGGGAGTGCACGATTATCAAATTGGAGATGATGCAGCATACCGCGATATCCTGGTTTCGGCTGGGCTTGACTCTCGCCCGAACATAGGAAGCCGCTGATGCAAAGAGCGGAGGACAGCAAAAGGGTTAATCAAGCCCAGCCGAAACCAGGATATCGTGGTACGTAGCTGCATCATCTCCCAATTTGATAATCGCACACTACCAAGATCCAACAGTCATCGTGTCAGCAGCTAGATGACTCAAGCAAAAAAGCAATACATATACTGCCATAGCTCCACACATGCCCTCGCCCGAACCTAGGAAGCCACTCACTGATTGTTGCAGAGAGCGGAGGACAGCAAAAGGGTTAATTCAAGCCCACCCGAAACCAGGATATCGTGGCATGTAGCTATCTATGCTGTATCATCTCCCAATTTGATAATCGTACACTTCCAAGATCCCCCAGTCATCGTGTCAGCAGCTAGATGACTCATGCAAAATAGCAACACATATACTGCCATAGCTCCACACATGCCCTCGTCCGAACCGAGCAAGCCACTTGGAAGTCACGAGGGAGTCAAGTCCTGCTAGCAGGTTCTCTTGGCTTCCCTTCAGGTGAACACGTCCAGGAATCCAGTGTATCCGTGTTGCTAAATTTTTGTTTGAGTCATCTAGCTGCTGACACGATGACTGTCTGTGGGATCTTGGGAGTGTTGTTGTTGTTGTTTGT